ACGCTATTAAAGCTAATGCCAAATGTGAACGTCTCTTCAAGCTTTTTTTTTTTTTTTTGTGAAGAGCAAACAATACAGACAACGTGAGACTTTTACCTCACACTGGAGCAGAGGCGTAGTGAGGTTGTTTGGCGCCCGGGGGACAAGATCCATTTTAAAGCGCCCCCTTTTCTTTTTTTCAACTCTCAAACCCATTATTTTTACCCATAATATAATATCAAAGCCCATTTTGGCGCCCCTAACTAGCTTGCGCCCGGGGACATCTGTCCCCCCTGCCCCCCCCTCGCTACGCCTCTGCACTGGAGTAAGATGGCTTTCGAAAGGGAATTGCTTGAAAAGATTTATGGAACTATTTGATACTCTTGCGATTTTTTACAGTCACAAACCTGATATGAAGTGCATCTGTTAACTGTTGATGGTTCACCCTTTGTGAGTTATTTAGCCGATATCTTTGAAAAAAACTAATTATATTAAATAGCAAACTTCAAGGATCAAATAATACTCTTGTGGATGCAAAAGGGAAGATATTTGGTTTCATTACCTTTATTGCATTATGTCAGAAAAGTATTTACAACAAAAATTTAGAAAAGATTCTTTGGCTCCAAAAATGTGAAATGACTGATACCGCTAGGCTTGTTTTTGTTGATCGTCCGAAAATCATATCGGCTGATTTAAAAGAAAGATTTTCTGATTTGAAACAAATTGATTTCCCAACTTGAATGATGCTGCCAATGTTAGTAGATCTGTCTGATGTTTCATCCAAGCAAATGCAGTATCAAGAAAACTCGCAGAAATGCAAAATGATGAGTCCGTTAAAACTTTTTTTTAATAATAAAAGGAGCGATGACTTGGTTTTGTGAGGAAACAGAATCAGATATCCAAATTCAACCAAATGTGCAACAAAACTATTGTTACCGTTTTCATCGCCATTTTTATGCTGAATGTCGTTTTGTGCCATAATTTAAAAAAAAAAAAAAGAAGAAGAAATCGGCTGGATATAACACAACATGGAGACTTGAGACTGAAGCTATAACTAAATTGGAAGATACAATAAAATCTCTTTGCAGCGAGCATCAAGCATCAAGCACCACAAACATCTCACTAAGTTTAAATAATAAATAATTCAAATAGTATAGAAAAAAAACTTTCATTAAAATTATTTCGTACATGACTTTCAGTTCTCCATTAAATGTTTTGAAAATGTACTTACATTGTTTCCTCACCAATTTCCTAGTGATTTCTTCCAAAAACCTATCATTTAGGTTTCTTAAGTGATCAACCCTATCTTTTAATATTAAAAATTATGTATATGATACATGGGGGGGGGGGATAAGAAAGGCTTAGGTAGGGCATTTAACACAAAAAAAAAAAAGGTAGAGAAACAAGGGGGGGAAATTAGATCGTTTAAGGGGGGGGGGCAGCGGCGTAGCGAGGGTGTTTGGTGCCCGGGGACAAGATTCGCGCCCGGGGACAAGGTCCATTTTAAAGTGCCCCTTTTTTCCTTTTTAAACTCTAAAACCCATTATTTTCATCAATAAAATAATATCAAAGCGCATTTTGGCGCCCCTAACTACCTGGCGCCCGGGGACATCTGTCCCCCCTGCGCCCCCCTGCGCCCCCCTCGCTACGCCTCTGGGGGGGGGACCATTGGAAAATGACCTGTATAGGATTTGAAAACCAACCGTTCTACTATGATTTAACTTGTATTTCGAAAAAAGACCAACATTAAAGTCTCTATTTACTGCTGATACTACAACTGCCAGTCTTACTATTGAGGCTAGTTATGAACCTTCCTTACTCATCGCTTAATCTGAGGAAAATCATACTATAGGAGAGAATTTAATCAAACCTTCAATATATCAGTATTTCTTAAAACGGTTCTGGAAAAAGATGACACAAGACGGGAAAGTTGTAACCTATACCTCTCAGTGACAAGAATGTTAGCAGAAGCATAGACGAATTGAGTAAAAATATTGAAATACAACTCTTTGAAAAGCTGAAAACAAGAAAATTCTCAGTGCAAATGTATGAATCAACTTTGGGAGACAGTGAGGCTGTATTGATGCATTGATAACTTCGTAAGATATTTTGATAAAGATATTTTGCTGAAGAAATTTTGTTCCGTAAATCATTAGAAAGCACCACTACCACCAAAGATAGATATATATCATAAGCTAAAAAAAAATGACTTAGCTGTCATTAATATAACAATGAAAAATGTAACATCTTGTGCTGGAGATGGTGCTTCTTATATCATGGCAGGAAAATGGCTGCTTAAAATTGATGAAAGATGAGAATCCAGAAAGGCTACTAGTACATTGTGTTATTCAAAGGGAAGACTTAAATTAGCAAAAAACATTTGGCCTGTTCTAAACGAAATACTAAATTCAGTTCTAAAGTGGATCAACGCTATTAAAGCTAATGCCAAATGTGAACGTCTCTTCAAGCTTTTTTTTTTTTTTTGTGAAGAGCAAACAATACAGACAACGTGAGACTTTTACCTCACACTGGAGCAGAAGCGTAGTGAGGTTGTTTGGCGCCCGGGGGACAAGATCCATTTTAAAGCGCCCCCTTTTCTTTTTTTCAACTCTCAAACCCATTATTTTTACCCATAATATAATATCAAAGCCCATTTTGGCGCCCCTAACTAGCTTGCGCCCGGGGACATCTGTCCCCCCTGCCCCCCCCTCGCTACGCCTCTGCACTGGAGTAAGATGGCTTTCGAAAGGGAATTGCTTGAAAAGATTTATGGAACTATTTGATACTCTTGCGATTTTTTACAGTCACAAACCTGATATGAAGTGCATCTGTTAACTGTTGATGGTTCACCCTTTGTGAGTTATTTAGCCGATATCTTTGAAAAAAACTAATTATATTAAATAGCAAACTTCAAGGATCAAATAATACTCTTGTGGATGCAAAAGGGAAGATATTTGGTTTCATTACCTTTATTGCATTATGTCAGAAAAGTATTTACAACAAAAATTTAGAAAAGATTCTTTGGCTCCAAAAATGTGAAATGACTGATACCGCTAGGCTTGTTTTTGTTGATCGTCCGAAAATCATATCGGCTGATTTAAAAGAAAGATTTTCTGATTTGAAACAAATTGATTTCCCAACTTGAATGATGCTGCCAATGTTAGTAGATCTGTCTGATGTTTCATCCAAGCAAATGCAGTATCAAGAAAACTCGCAGAAATGCAAAATGATGAGTCCGTTAAAACTTTTTTTTAATAATAAAAGGAGCGATGACTTGGTTTTGTGAGGAAACAGAATCAGATATCCAAATTCAACCAAATGTGCAACAAAACTATTGTTACCGTTTTCATCGCCATTTTTATGCTGAATGTCGTTTTGTGCCATAATTTAAAAAAAAAAAAAAGAAGAAGAAATCGGCTGGATATAACACAACATGGAGACTTGAGACTGAAGCTATAACTAAATTGGAAGATACAATAAAATCTCTTTGCAGCGAGCATCAAGCATCAAGCACCACAAACATCTCACTAAGTTTAAATAATAAATAATTCAAATAGTATAGAAAAAAAACTTTCATTAAAATTATTTCGTACATGACTTTCAGTTCTCCATTAAATGTTTTGAAAATGTACTTACATTGTTTCCTCACCAATTTCCTAGTGATTTCTTCCAAAAACCTATCATTTAGGTTTCTTAAGTGATCAACCCTATCTTTTAATATTAAAAATTATGTATATGATACATGGGGGGGGGGATAAGAAAGGCTTAGGTAGGGCATTGCACACAAAAAAAAAAGGGTTGGGAAACACTGATCTAAATTACGTCGTATCATGACTAATGCGAAACAGCCCTCAGAAATTACCAAATTTCCGTTAGGATGAATTCTTTACCAATTGTAATGGGCTCTCCGGACTTAGCAATCAATCCTTGAAATAATGTACGCCAACCACGATTATCATGAAATAATGTACGCTAACCATCTGTATCAGGAAATCATGTAAGCTAACCATCTGTATCATGAAATCATGTAAGCTAACCATCTGTATCAGGAAATCATGTAAGCTAACCATCTGTATCATGAAATCATGTACGCTAACCATCTTTATGATGAAATCATGTACGCTAACCACCTGTATAATGAAATTATGTACGCTAACAATCTTTATCATGAAATCGTGTACGCTAACCATCTGTATCATGAAATCGTGCACGTTAATCACCTGTACCATGAAATTAACCACCTTTATCATGCAATCATGTACCCTAACCATCTGTATCATAAAATCATAATCGCTAACCATTTGTATCATGAAATCGTGTACGCTAACCATCTGTATGATGCAATCATGTACCCTAACCATCTGTATCATGAAATCGTGTATGCTTATCATGTGTGCTGTGTTGAGAAGCATTGCAAAACATAGTCGACTTCGTGGGTCTTAGTCGACTTCGTGGGTCTTAGTCGACTTCGTGGGTCTTAGTCGACTTCGTGGGTCTTAGTCGACTTCGTGGGTCTTAGTCGACTTCGTGGGTCTTAGTCGACTTCGTGGGTCTTAGTCGACTTCGTGGGTCTTAAATGAAGTTTGTAACCAAGTGATTGAAAGTATATTACGTTCTCTTTTGCCTGTCAGCATGTGGCACCCGGCGGCACTTTTGTTTTTTCCTTTGTGTGGCATATGCCCCCGGCGGCTTTTTTTTTTCTTTGTGTGGCATATGCCCCCGGCGGCACCTTTTTTTTTTCTTTGTGTGGCATATGCCCCCGGCGGCACTTTTGTTTTTTCTTTGTGTGGCATATGCCCCCGGCGGCACTTTTTTCTTCTTTGTGTGGCATATGCCCCCGGCGGCACTTTTTTTTTCCTTTGTGTGGCATATGCCCCCGGCGGCACTTTTGTTTTTTCTTTGTGTGGCATATGCCCACGACGGCACTTTTGTTTTTTTCTTTGTGTGGCATGTGCCGCCCGGGGGCACTTTTGTTTTTTCTTTGCGTGAAAAAAATTACTGAAGTAGCAGAAAATACCGCTCCTCAAGAACTGTTCAATTGAAAGGATACATAATGTAGGCCATTCCGAAATTTTGATATTTAATAACTTGTTTATGGAAATATACGTATCGTATTTTTATAAATTAAAACATACCACTTCGGGATATATAAATAATATTGCATTTTAAACGATTGAGAAATTGTTATCATCAACAAGGTAGACAGATAGGAAGAAAAAAAGAGTACCGCCCGGGGCGGACTGCATCCTTTCTACGCCACTGGTGCAGGCTCTTCTGGTAATATAGAATCTTCTTTAGGTTGAGTAGGCCTAAGAACCAAAAGTTTTTAAAAAACGTTTGGAAAAAAGGGGTAATCTACAATAAGTGGAAAAATAAGTCTTTAGGCCCCTTTTTTATTTAAAAAAATGCGATCAAATGTTTAAATCAGAAAGCATGCCTTATTAAAAAAAAATGTTAGAAGAATTCCATTGCAACGCTTATGAAATTTTACAGTAGTTAATTTTTCGGTTATTTTCGTATTTTTGGTAAAAAATGTATGACTCCGTACATAAAAATTTGACAACAGACAAGTATTAAAAACGTTTTTCTCAATTCAACAAAGAACCCATGTTATATTTGTTCACCATAACATACAGGTAGACAAATTCATAGCAAAAAAAGTTATAATAAAAAAATAAACATTTAATATTCATCATCATAATGTGTCCCTGAAATACTTTTACTGAAAATCGTTCTCCTCACACCAGAATGTGGTCGCCTCAACTGTTGCTTTTGAAAACTTGTTCCAGCCACTGATTGTCTGAATTGTGAAACCAGATCTAGATTCAATCGTTGAAGTTTTCTGATCTTTTGATTCATTTATCGTGAAATTCATCAATGGGAAACTTAAAGCCTCATTTCCTTTATTGGGAAAATCAAGCCAGATCTTTGATATTTGCATATATTAAAAAAGTAACATTTGAAATGATTAATTTTATTAGTTCAATAACGCGTTGAAAGAATGTGAAAAAATGTCAATTTTGAATGAAATTGACTTATTTATTAAAAAATTTAAAGTCATATGAGCAGTTAACGTGTAAAATTAAAAAAAAAACGACTCTGATTTTGTAAATTAGTTGCTTAATTAATATATTTTATATTCCTTTATAAAAATATCTCTTTTATGCGAGTTATAATATTTTAATATTACAAAATTTGAATGTTTTAGACTTAGGCCAATACTTTCCAAGTTGTTTTTTTTTTTACCCAAACGCCTCACCTGAACTCGTAAAAATGTATAACAGGCCCACCCCCTTAAAAATTTAAGATTTTTTTAAATAGGAGAGAAAGGCATTCTACCGCCAGAATGATTTAACTTTAATTCATGGCCAGTTAAGGCCTAGAGAGTTTCAAAAATAGTAGGATAAAACTTACAATTAGAATTATATTTTTATGGAAATAAATGACAATATGTAGTTAAAGGGTGCTGTCTAATAATACCGCACTCTCTATTAAAAACAACAACTTAAATATACGTCCTATATCAGAAGCCAACCCCACCCCACTCTTACGCACGACAATGGGAAACACTGGTCAAGGCCATAGGGTACGTCGTATGAAGTTAGTCTAGTCCTTTCAGATTTTAAATTTTTTTAAAAATTTAAAAAAAAAAAAAAAATCTGTTGGCCTACTGACCACAGGCAAAGCATTAAAAATAACTAATGTTTCTTTTTAATGTACAATGTAAAGCTTTTTTGAAATCAAGTGACTTATTAAACTCAAGATTTATATTTTTATTTAAATAATATACATTGTTAAAAAGTAAAATAACATAAAAGCAGACAAATGCACAAATGCGATGAGATGAACCACTACCGAGCATGCGCATGCGTACTGCTTGTTTTCCCGCATGCTCAAGTGTTATGGCTCTTTCAAGCCAATTATCGACGACATTGGCGTCTACATTCTAAGCGGAGTATACAGCTTGATTTCTCAACTTTTGGTGTATAATATACTCAAGAACAATCACGAGATTTGTGTTTTGTTTTTATTAATAATTAATCTGGTAAAATAATTAATTAATGGATTATTACCGTTTTCGATTTCTTAGTAAATTAATATTTTTCTTGCTTCCCTCCCTTTTCCCACCAATACTACAGTACAGTGCTATTAAATTAAGTAATATTTATTATTATTACATTTACTGGTGTGTGCTGAGTATGCACTTAGTATTTTTAAGTCATTAGAGATATATATTAATAGAATGTATTTCATGCAAAGAACATTTTACTTATCATATAGGATTTAGGCTTAGGCCTAGGTAGAGACTACCTACACCAGGCCTACTTTTTATTTATTTAATTTAGCCTAATTAAATTATAAATTTTAGTTTAGGTTGAAGTTTATTAAAACTAAAACATCAATTATTATTACCCCTGTCTGCTCCTGCTACCCTGGTCACATTCTCATCTAGAATCCTACTCCTAGTCTTAGCAAGTCTTACTTACCTTTCATCTTCTTACTCTTCAAGAGGCTCTTGTCTTGTCTTATATTTATATTATAATGAATTTAATGAAACATATGCCTAGTTTATCATTATGATCAAATGATCTTAACTTAGTTTATAATTAGAAGGCCTTAAACTTAAAGTTTACATTTTTACTAAGGCTTAAGATTTAATGCATATGAGTTAGGGTGGAAAATATTTCCGAGGCTATTATTGCCAGCATTTCATGTTTTGGTTTAGTTCTGCATTATTTAGATTGTGACCTACTACTCACAAACATAGAGACTAATTTGTCAAAGTCAATGACAATGAATCCTGTCACTGTTACTCCTGTAAATAAATCTATCACAAATTCGCAGAGTATGTTATTTAACATTACTATTAGGCCTAGTAAAATTGTTGGCAATCCTCCGAAGACCGGTCCCAAATTATTTCGTATGAAAAAAATTGCAATGCACATTGTCTATTGTTAGAAAACAGCAGAAATGTCAGTCATGGCTTTTGCAAATAACTGTCAGTTTACAAACCAGTCAGTAAACACTAAATATTGTATTTGTAATTGGCACATAACATTTGCAAATAGCAGCCGAAAACGTTCTGCTTGTGACTGTTGCGCCACTGAAGGCTCCAAGTAGCTGGCAAACAGACCACCACTAGTACCACTCTGATAGCAGAGTTTACGTTTCGCTTGCATCCAAAGTTCTTCAATAATTTATGTGTGAATGTCCTGGTCTACTGGATCAACAAATTCATGCGCATTCACAATGACAGCGTGAGCATAAATCTCGTTGTTGAGCTGACCGAAATTTTCATATCCTCCCCCTTCGTCCGTGACGATAGCTGTCCCTGGTAACACATGATTAGTGATAATGCGCTCTAGTGTTTGTGCATCTCGACGGCCGACAACCTCCATCCAACATCGTCCACAGCCGCAAAAATGAATTTCAAAACAGAATGATGCCCAAGACTTTTAAGTTAGGAGTAATTATTGGAAATAATTTGGGACCGGACTTCGGAGGATTGCCAAATTGTCAATCAAAAACAAATAACTTAGAACATTGCAGCGCAAAATATATTGAAATGGGCTTATCATGTAGGTTACACTACACCTTGGCCTTACTATTGTCATTTTATCTGGACATTTTTTATTGTTTGTATGTTGACAATGTTGTTTTAGGGATTTTCTTAAATCATTTTAATTGATTAATCAACATTTTTGATTTGACAAGATCTTACACTTTATGTTAGCAGACATGTCTGAGGAAACGAATTCCACAAAAGCAGAGTCAGTTGATGTAAAGCCCCTGATTTCTGGCTCTGCTTCAAATACAACTACAACAACTTCACAAAGCTCAGGAGGTGGTGGTACAACAAAGTCAAGTTCACAGAGCCTGGTATAAATGACTCTATAATTAGCAGACTATTTGATTTTACAAACACTTTACTTTTACCTAAATTATTTTTGAGTTTCTTTCCTTGCTTATCTTATGATCTTTATCAAAGAAATCTTTTTTTAATACTTGATATAGGCCTAATTATTCGCAGTTGTATGTGTTGAATTTAAATCTAACGCATATTATGTGGGAATCTGCTTCTTTTTTAAAATCATCCATAACACGTTTTTCAAAATATTTTCACAGAAGCCCAATTACTCCTTGAAATTTACACTTGCTGGTCACACTAAAGCGCTATCCTCTGTCAAGTTTAGTCCAAATGGAGAATGGCTGGCCAGTTCTTGTAAGTTTGTATAATTCACTTTATCTAATTTAGGATGTCATATATCATTATTGCTGTTCTGTAATAAACAGAGAACAATCCCATCCTTTCTGTTTATTCCGCCATTAAATTCGTGTACGCCATTAGTGTTGTCTTGAAAACGCTAAATATTCCTTTTCTGAAGGTTTCAAAGTGAAAGGGTTAAAGTTGTGTTAATATTTGTAACTGTCTCATTCAGCTGCTGATAAACTCATCAAGATCTGGGGTGCATACGATGGAAAATTTGAGAAGACAATATCCGGTCATAAGTTGGTGAGAATAATAATTCAGTGAATAGATAAATAATATATCTGATAACTTAAGCAATGAAATTCATTAATGATTATAGACAATTATATTATTCCATAGTTTAAATTAAAAATTTAAGATACTTACATAATGTTGCATTTTAAATTACTGAGAATTAATATCATCTACAGGGTCTAAGTGATGTGGCGTGGTCAACAGATAGCAAGTTATTGGTCAGCGCATCAGATGATAAAACACTTAAAATATGGGATTTTGCTACCGTTAGTAGTTACATTTTTGCAACACTTTTTTAAATAGTTAATTTTGGTTCTGTTTTTGATTTTCTTATTTACTAACTATGTCATTTGTATCCTCTGTTTCAATGAAAATCAATATGGTAGGCAAAATAAAATAAAAATTTTTTTTTTTTTTTTTTTTTTTTTTTTTTTTTTTTTTTTTTTTTTTTTTTTTTTTTTTTTTTTTTTTTTTTTAAATTTTAGATGCTTTATTTTCTTTTTTTTTCTTCATAAATATTCTTAACAGTTTTTAAGATCGATCAATTTAAATGAAATATAGATTTTACATGTCAAATAAGTTGGATTTAAATTTGAAAACAGTAGTACCTCAAGCATTCGCGTTTCCGAATTTGCAAAAATTTAATTGGAACCTAACTAATTTGCTTTCGCAGATATGCGAAATTAAAAAAATCCTGAAAAAACCCTGCAGAAATTTTTTTTTTTAATGATTAATTTTGAAGTAATTTATACATATTCAAACTTTTAAGTGTATAATCGGTAAGAAAAATTGTGCTAATTAAAATGCTATAATATGTTTTCTTAAGGGGTAGTCAAAAACTTTTGATTTCCTATGAAACGTTCCTTTTTATGTTAAGTACTGTGTTGATGTGATAACCGTTTGAATAGTTTATTCCCTTTGGAATACTAATGGTTACATAATGATTTGAACATAACCTATTTAATTTACTATTTTGTAGTAGTAAATGACAACGTAAATTCTACACAAAAAATATAAATTTTCTTCTAGTGATCATTAGAATGGATACTGTATTGTGTATGGGCGATGACAAAGGCACCATGATGACGCCATTGAGTAGCCAATCACACAGCAGGGTACCAGCTTTCCTTCTTGCTGATTGGTTTTAGCTCAGATTTTTTGTGTATAAGTGAAGCAGCGGTCCATTCTTCCATATCAGTTAAATATGCAGATGTTGATAAGTTTTTTTTTTAGGTGTCAAACATTTTTTAAAAAAAAAGTGTAATGTGTTACGCTAACTTCTAAATGGAATTAACGTGCTTTTGGAGCTTGATTTGTGTATTTTTAGGAGATTAAACTCTAGAAATAAGCATATATTAGCATTTTTAGTGACTCGTACCAAACATTATTGTTTCCCCTGATCCGCTACATGTTCTAGAACTTAAATTCGCGAATTTTCGATCGAGGTATTACTGTATTACACAAGCTCTCTTTTTATCATGCTTACCTGCTATATTATTTTCAGGGCAAGTGCTTGAAAACCCTAAAAGGCCACAGCAACTATGTTTTCTGCTGTAATTTTAATCCACAATCTAATCTTATTGTTTCTGGTTCAGTAAGTGTTTTTATTAATTAAGATTATTTGGGGTCAAATAAGGATATATTATTGTAGAAGATTCATCTTAAAGTTACACAGCATGCATTTTCTCATTTTAAAAATTTTTTTTGTTGGAATGTAATTTCAATAAATTCAATTTAATCCAGAGATATCGAGTTAGGGGAGACATTTTGCCAGTGTTGGGCTTTTAAATAACAGAAGAAAAAACATCCAGTATTGAAGTCAGTAATTGTCAGAGCATGAATATATATTTAGTTTCCATAAAGTAAATATTGTTTCTAAAGTTTATTTTCCAATTTTTGGCTTTTGATCCTAGAGTCCAACACAGGGGGAGCAAATATTTATGCTTGATTAATTAATTTCATTCTTGAACAGTTTGATGAAAGTGTGCGGATATGGGATGTGAAAACTGGAAAATGTTTAAAGACTTTACCAGCCCATTCAGATCCAGTAACTGCTGTGAGTACAAATGTTCATGTGATTGTGAATACTGATGTATATATATTTGAATATTTAAAATCTTTTAAAATGAGCAGAGATGACTTGGTAATGTAAAATGGGAATATGGCATTTTATTTCTACAAAATTTCGATCTTGTGCTCAATAATCTTTATAAAATATTAAACAAAACTTGAAATTAAATTTGCCATCTTAATTAAACCACAATCACTAGTATTGTTAACAATTATCGTCTGTTTTTGTTTAAAAATTGTTTTTATTTATTTTGCAAATTGGTGTTGGATTTTAATATTTTGGTAATTTTAAATTGAACTTTACAAAAATCCCCAAATCTTGAAAAATTGATTGAATAACCCGCTTATCAGCTTTTAATGGATATGGACAGTACCAGTATTATAATAGTAAACAATCAGGAGTGATGTCCCGTAGAAATCAATGTGTACATTTATCAAAGTTGTAGTGCCATGTCTCATATCATGGCTCATTTATCAAAGTTGTAGTGCCATGTCCCATGTCATGGCTCATTTTTCAAAGTTGTAGTCCCATGTCTTGGCTTGACGATGACATGTAAGAATGTAGACCCACGGGAGTACTATTTTTAACCACATCACTACCTTTTAGTAATATTTGCCTTTTTTATCCTGCAGGTTCATTTTAATAGAGATGGATCTCTGATAGTATCAAGTAGCTATGATGGTCTATGGTAATAATTTTAATTGTAGAATCTTGAACAGTGTATTCTGTGTGATTTAAGCAGTTTTTTAACTGAAATAAGGAATAACCTAAGAATTGACTTTGCTTATCTGAATCAAACCATCACCAACAGCTGTTGAGTCACAAGCAACAAAATCAATTAGAATTTGTTAGATATCTAAGATTTTAGTCATTCTAAAACTAACTTTAAATAAAATTTAATGTTGCACTGCATCAAAACACTATAAATATAGTATCAGCTAATAGAACACAAGCAATAAGTATGATCAAAACACCCGTGAGTTTAAGCAAGTGTCTAAGGAAATACTAATTAATATCACAAAAAGCATCCCTTTTTTTTCCCAATAATTCATTTTCAGTAGTATTCAATAAAAATTTAGCCAAACATAATTTCGGAGCTTCATATTAAAGTAGTCGACATTCTTCTTTGATCAATTACAACTTTATCCATTATTAATTTTCATTGATTTTGTTAAGCTTGATTTTTCATTATATTTTTAAAAAAAACTATTTGTGGGAACTTGGGGTAAATGACAATACCTTTTAATTGGGCCAATGAACCTCAACCTGTTGTATTGTATTTAGTGTGAATTATTTTTTAAAACAACATTAAAAATCCCTATACATTTTTCAGTCGTATCTGGGACACAGCATCGGGGCAGTGTTTAAAAACCCTAATGGGTAAGTTCTTCTTGATTCTTCCCTCCTTTTAATTTCAGGAATTTAAAAAATTTTAATCAGTGTTTGATCATCTCTGGAAAAATTTAGTCTTTTTCCCTTCAGTAAATCTTATGCCTGTTGTTTATCTCTATATTATGTTTTACTGAATTTTATTTTTTAAATACTCAACACTGGTTTATTATGTATGATTGCTCAAAAGATTACATTTAATAATCTCTTTCGAAAATGTTTTTACTATATACATAATTATGAAATAAAAATGCACAAAAAAATTGCTACTCTTCAGATGATGATAACCCTCCTGTTTCATTTGTCAAATTTTCTCCTAATGGCAAATATATCCTTGCAGCTACTCTTGATAAGTAAGTTCTTAACCCTATAACTGTCAACAAATTTCTGTAGCGTCAAGCCATTTTTAGTAATTTCATTTGCTGGTCAAAAATTCAAGACTAAATGAATTCAGAGACCCTTACAAGTATACATTTTCTGAAAGTAAATTGGACAACGTATCTTATGGTATGAAAAGAATGTATTTCTACATTATGTATGTTGATATTGACCTTGACGGTAACTGTATGAGTAAAATTTTACTACTTAACTTCTGAATTCAACCCACCATAAATACTCCATAAATTGTTCAAACAATTTATAGTTACTTATATGGAAAATTGTGAAATTGGTGAATTTTTTCATTCACTGCCTTCAAATTTATGTTATACAAAGGGAAAGACACAAAATGAGTTCAAAAATTCCTTTTCATTTGAAGTTATTAAATCCATTTTTTATTAATTAATTCTCCAGAACATAAACAAACATAAATATCTTATGGGTAGATCTTCGTGATCAAATCTGTATTTTTCTGTTCGATTTCCACCGTTTCCCAAACGAATTTGTAACAATACGACTAAGCTTAGGGATAAAATTCTGACTCTTATTTCGACATCACCGCTAGAGCCTATGCTGTCATTACTTGCACATGGAATATCTCTGATATCTTTGCTTTCATTTTAATATCTTTTAAATAATTCCAATAAATTCTGGGTTAATTTTGATATCCCAATCTCCCGCATCAGACATTGTGGCGGTGAAAACATTTGAGAAAATTTTATACCCGATTAATCACAAAGAAGTCCCTGATTAAAGCATGTACTTACGCTGAAAGTAACAGATATAGGAAGCAAACATGTTTATAGAGAGCGATATCCCTTAAACAATATACATTAGAATCAATTCGCATTTTTAATGATGATCTTGCTATCGGCCGCGACACCACAGAAAGGGGTATAATGGCAGATCATTGGCCGTTATAACATTTATAGGGTTAAACATTTCAATATTAAACATAAAAAACGTATAATCAATTTATAATTTAGAGGCTGTCAGTTTTTGCGATTTCATTTCTATTTACAAGTTGAATTATTCTTATCTTCTCTGGTATATTTTTTCAAGTAGCTGCATTGATGGATTTTACTTAACTGCACTGAAGTAATTGAAGCACTTTATTTAGGATTTTAAAAATATTACATACTTAATATATTTTATTTCACTTAACAATTTTTTATGTATGATTGGCCATTGAATTATTATTTTGTTTTCTAACTTCAGCACACTGAAACTGTGGGATTATTCTAAAGGAAAGGTAATTCATTAAAAGTTGCCAAATGTTTACCCATTATAAGTTAATTTTTTGGGACAATCTGTTATGCAATATAATTATAATGACTCAAAACACATGTAAGTTTTGAATTTGTATGTAATGCAGGCATTTTCACAATGCTTACGTTCATGGAAAAGTCTTTTTTCTAATTCCTATTCAACAGTTTTGTTTATTATGAACTTTGTGTTTTTATATATTTCCTCAGTGTTTAAAGACATACCTGGGCCATAAGAATGAAAAATATTGTGTTTTTGCAAACTTTTCAGTCACAGGAGGAAAGGTATGTACCGGTAAAGGTTTTTGATTACCTTATAAAGTTTGCTAACAGCATACACATATAATATTTATAATTTAAACCTACAAAAAAAAAGACCATTTTAAGTGGTAACGTCTTTGTCTTTTTCCAGTGGATTGTCTCGGGTTCAGAAGACAATATGGTTTATATCTGGAACCTGCAAACAAAAGAAGTTGTTCAAAAGTTAGCTGGCCACACAGGTAAAACCCATGTAGACTAGAGAATTATAGCATAATTCACACATTTTATACGAAGGTGGATAAATGGCTGCCTTCATGCTAAACAGTTATTCGTCTCAAGAATTAAGGTGTTCTCTCAATGACTGTGGTACAAGTCCATACAAAAATAGACCAATGTAAGCAGTACAGCATGCAAAGAATATCTAGGATGAAATACGAAGGCCAACCTTGAGTGTGCTGTAATCAACTGTTATTATCTGATCAGTATTATTTTGGGCATTATTTTTTTTTTAGTTTGATGAATATAGTATAACAGATAAGATTATTGCTTCTCACTGCATGGCTAACAACTTGCTATGTAACTCTCAAATAGTCTTGGTTTTCTGCCATTTTTTTTTTCTCCCTTATTAGCTACCTTTTCAATCTTGCTTGTTCAATGAAGAACATAGCAGTAATAACATGTTATATATCATTGGATTCAGAATTCAATGATCTGTTATTTGATGCCAATTATTGGATCACAGTTAATTAAGGTTTTGATTTATGGTCGAAAGATTAGATTTTTTGGTGTGCAAAATTTTTACAAAAATTGTCTTTCCAGCAATTTTAACAACCCTTTTATTAATGACACTTTTAAAAATGCATTCCAAAAATGTAAAATAAATACAACTTAAAAAATGGAGTTCTTTTCTTAAAGAAAAAGAACCAGGCCAGTGTTTCATGAGAGAAATACTATTATTATTTGCAAATAATATAAGGGGCGATTATAATTTTAAATTTATAAAGAAATATATACTGCATTGGGTACAAATAAAAAAGATATGGGTTATGAAATATGACAATTTCTGTTTTCTAGAAAACTCATAAATTTTACAAAGGGAACACATCAAGTCTGTTGTATAAGCCTAATAAGTATTTGCAAATTATTTCTTTACTATAAGCAACCATAGTAGCTGCAACAGCTTGCAGTGTTATAATCATTCATATTGCTGCAAAAAAAACATTTGCTTTATCATAAAAAGTTTGCCCCCACCTGATTGATTCTACTAAATTAAAAAGACTAGAGCTATCAGATATTTTTAATTATTCAACACATGCACTTTGTTTTCTTCTGATTAAAAGGCATATGACTATTTGCCTAACATTAGAAAAGTAATTAAACAAACTTCAAAAACCAAGTTTTTCATATCAGTGACCTCATATTTCCTTTATCTTCCCCTTGAAAAACAGGAAAAAACTGATTTGTAGGGTTGATGCTGAAAATTTGATAAATGTGTTGTTATCTGCAACGAGTTTATGTGCTAAGTTTCAGCTAGATAGGTAGATGGGAAGTGGGTCAATTAGCCGTCTAAAGATTTTGCCACACAGCCAAAAACACATGATAAAAAGCAAAGCTAATAAGAAGGATTTAAAAAGAAAGAAAAAGGCTCTCGGCCACTGCAGTTTTCTTCTACTAACCGCATTGTTGTCTATGTTATATTTATTTCAAAGCTGATACCTTTTATCAACCAATTTTATCACAATCTGATTAACTAGGCACAATAGTTGCACTCAGATTAACTAACCTACATTAAAAACAACCATTTATATTGTTTAATGAGATCTTGAATCTGCAAGAACCATTAATTCATTTACAGCTATGTTGTTCCATACCCCTATTGTGTTACATTTAGGAAATGGGTATGCTGACCTGTTTACTCTTAAGATTCTGGTGTCCAATTTACGATTTTGAGGTGTATACATTGTATATACCATGTGTTTTTTTACTATTAAGATAATGTATTGAACGATTTTGTGATGATATTGTACAATTTTAAAGACTGTGAAAGGGGTGGGAATGTCCTGTCCTCTCCTTTGCTTGATAATTTAATATGGTTTGAGACCATATTTTATTGCACATCCTTTTCATCTGGTCCAGAAATTGAGCTGTACATGCTTATCAGCAGTATCAGCAGTTTACTCAGTTTTTCTTTTAGAAACTTACACTGTATAAGTGAATAAACTCCTTTAATATCCAGTAACAGTTCACACATTTGGGGGTTTTAGTTGACAAGTCCAATGAGTGTTACAAATTTTGTTCATTAACTGGAAAGTCCAGTTTTAAAATCAAGTGGCTTAGTTGCCATAACATTTCGGCTGCAGTGGTTGTGTATATTTACAAAACATCCCCAGACTTGATGTCAATTAAAGTTGAAAAGTGATAAAGGTGAAGGTACTCTTTATCTTGTCATGTTTAGGACAGACTTCAGTAGGTAACTCAGGTCTTAAGACAGGAATTGCACTGCCATGATGATTGGGTTGCCCAATGTCCTAATAAAATATAAGCATTGCTTAAGCATAAGTAGATCTTAAATTTTTTTTTAAAGTGAACAAAACTAAATGTATTATTTAATTAAAAATAAGAAAATTTCAAAATTAAACCAGAATTAATCATGGACCGAAAAGTCCTAAGCCTTTTCTTGGTGTATCCAATGTAACGAAAGGAAATTTCAAACAACTACGCCTATGAAAAAAATATAATAATAAAATGGAGTAAGACATTTATATAATGAAGCTTAAATACTTATTTTACGTGTTTATGAAGTCCACTGTTACAGTTTATCAATGTAATTATATATATATTTTTCCCCACTATTTCCACAATATTTATGTTTTGACCCATCGTAACAGAAAAAAATCGTAATTTCAATAGCTATCACTCTGGCAAAAATGCACACAATCATCAGCAGTTTTGTCTTTTTCTTATTTTTATCTGGCTAGTATCACTTCTTGACTTGAAATATGATAAATGTGGAGTCTTTTTATGCTACAGACCTCTAGTCTAGTTTGACAGAATTGGCAATATGGTGGACGAAAATCACGTCATTAACAAAACCAAAATAAGATTTTAATAAAAAATCTAAATTAAAAAATCTAAATTTATGTTTAAAATAAATATTTTTAACTATTTTTTACATGAAATTATAGTTGCATGTTAAAAATTACTTTGGTTTATTAAAAGTTGAGAGAAAAAAATAAAGATATAATCACTCCTGACCGAAAAGTCAATGTAATGTACCGGTTCTTTGAGTTAAAACGCTGCATCATATGTAGATCATTATCTTTAACACTGTTATTATTAAGATGGGATTTAAAATTGGTCAGCTTATATTAGGTCTAAACTTGCTTTGCATATGCTGATGCTTAACAAGAATGAATTGTCCCATTTACTTCCGGTATCTTTGTTGTGTGTTATGGGGTAAACAATGGCAGACGTATGAATTTCAAATTGTTAACATGAAAATTTGTTAAACATGGCTTTCAAATTTTAATTGAGCTAAGTGAAGATGTTTATTAATATTTAAAGCTTCTGTTAAAGCTTTTGATCTTGCTATATTCTAGGAACTTGTACAACACCAATTTTATTATTCACTGTGTCTTGAGAAAATTATAATAAAATCTCATAAGTACCCCACTTATTCCCCTGAATTTTTGTATCATCTTTGGTAGATTAATGTCATAATAAATTCTACCTATTTAAGTTTTAATATTGCTTCGACCTACCTCCCTCACTAGTCTAAGCATTACGATCACTTTTTACGACTTACCTCAGTCATGTTTTCTTTTCATCAAGTTTTTATTAAAGATAATTATTTTGTGATGAGAATGTAAAACGTTTATTTTATTTCCCCAGATGTTGTTTTGAGTTGCGCGTGTCATCCTACAGAAAATATCATTGCATCTGCAGCTTTGGAAAATGACAAAACGATCAAATTGTGGAAGAGTGACACATAGCACCAAAAACGTTCCTCCTTTGACACATTTTAAATTTTAAGGTTTAAAAGCATTTATGTCAGTGGCTATCCTCCATGTGTTGAGCAAGACTCCCTGTTGAATATGTGGAGTAACAAAAACAGTTTTGTTTTCTCGTTGATATTCTGTGTGGAATTTGGGACTCGTTTGGATTTGGTTCATGTAAATTTTTAAATATACATAATGTTCCATCTAGCTTCAGTAATATTATCATTGACAAAAAATATATTTCTAAAAATGTTTTTTAACCGAGATTCTTTGACCGGAAGAAAATACTACTTCGCTAATTTCAATGGAACTTAAAAAGAAGGCTTATTGCAATAATTAAGACCTAACTTACATTACACTAATTAGTCTAATGAAAATGAAAGTCATTGAGGCTCAACAAATTTATTGAAATCCACCAAGCATACTTTTATCGAGCAGCATTTGTGAAATATGGGTAACTTGAAGAATAACTTACAGAGAATTTTTGCATTGGACTATTTTCAAGACTACAATTCCACACTCGTATCAGTTATTAAATGAAAGAAGGACGTTAATAAGCTAGTACTAAAATTTTAATTTAAAAAAATGTGTTTTACTATAAAAATGGTATCGAGTTGACTGGAAACAGATTACTGGTAAGAACAGAACGTTGGACTCCTTTCATAATAGACAGATGCATTTTCTCTCCAGTTTAAATTTATTCTCAACGAATAGTTTTAAGATATGTTCATTTGTGGGTTCACAAGAAAAGGAAGGATGTGCATTTGTCTTCTATTTTTGATACAGTGCCAATGCTGCTACCTATTTTCACTCTTGTCTGTTGTGCTCTATGTTTTGAGATGAGCTAGGGTGATGATCATGTCACCAGAAGTCTTGATGACATGAATATTTGTACAAAGTAATGGTTTGTCCACATGTGGTTTGTTATGTTCATTAACCAACACAAATCTCATGAAGACTGGACTAAAACATTGTCAAAGTTTTACTTGTCTTGGTTGCTTTGCTTTTTTTTTTCCCCTCTTGAAAGTGTGTGTGTGTGGGAGGGGATACTCTGGCAGCTTCTTGCTTGATAAAGCTGCTACCAGCATCTGGAGCTAGAGGGACAGTGGCATTTTTACTTTGCTATGTCAAAGTCTCTCATTGTGTGCTGACTGCCTTGGTACGGTACTGAATGGTGGGTCAGGTGCTGGCCATGCAATGTCAACTCTACTACTACTAATACTAACTTATAGATTTTGTTTTACTTACTTTCTAAAATGGTTTCAGTCACAAAGCCTATACAACTTTTTCATAACTAAAGTATCTATCAATTTGTCCATGGTACAATTAATTCGTCCACTGTGTTGATTTTTTTAATGACATGAAATAGTGACTGTGCTTGTTAGAAGTGGGCTTTAACTTTAAAAAAAAAAGAATATTGACATGTCCGGCTTGGTGAACCAAGGAGCTACTACAATGACAAAATGCTTGATCAGCTTGGTGAACCAAGGAGCTACTACAATGACAAAATGCTTGATCGTGTATACAAATAGGTGGACCGCTGGCTGCACACTTGACATTTAATCTTAATTGTTGTGTAGTATAACTTTTGAGTAAGTTTTAAAATGTTGAACTAACTCTTTTTACTGTATTTGAAAAATGAAAGCAACTTTGTGTCATTCATCTTGAATTAGACTTTGTACATTCTCCTTCACCTCGATATTATTAGTTGGGATAAATTGCGTCCATGATGATTTAACTTATGTTACAAAGTTAAATCAAACCAATTTCAAGTTTAGGTTGTTTTCATCTTGTAAGAATATTTTTGGACGTCAGGGGTGAATAATTCTGGCTATGTTTCTATTTATTCTTTGCTATAATAATAAAACTATGTTGGTGTGTGAACCTGTTACCAATGGAATAGTACCAACAGATGTCTGTTATAGGGTTGTCTCCAATTTACTTTTGTCCATAATTGTGTGGTACTATGTGATTTAAAATAAAATAATAAATCATGATTTGTGTTAGAAACTCATGTACCTGGTATGCAATATTTTTATACAAAACATGATTTTGCAAAGATTGTAAATTGAGGGTTTATTTTGTTTAAAAAAGTAGTTTTCAAATGACCAAAACTGGACATGCAACAAAGCATTTATGTCATCTGTTCCTGAGAATATGACAAATATTTATAGACTTTATTGCACATGTCAAGAATTTAAGCAAATTATTAAATACATTTTTAATTACGAGTTAATGGAAAAACAAATCGGGTGCAGTGGTAGAAGTAGAATATTTGGATGCAGTGCACTCCTACTCACTAAACATAACTCTTATTTTCACTCCATGGATGCCACAAGCTAAGTAACATCTTAATAAAATATCCACACAATATATTTAGGAAAAGAATACTGACAAAATACATAGCCATGCATTCTCAGAATGTAAATATGGTGAAATGACAACTATAAAAGTAAAAATAACTAACACTAGAATAACACAGGTCCGCTATTAAGATCAGTGGAAACATTTTAATTTAATACCGTGAAACGGAGTGACTTGGCCTACTTTTGGCCTATAAGCATAAATTTCAACATGTTATCTGATGAAAAAACTAAAACAAAGGCGCTAATGTACAGAGTGGGTACCTGCACCTTGTTGTTATAGCTGAATTAATTCATAGTTTGGTCAGGTTAAGTTGATAATTAAGGCTTTTTGAGATTTTTTAACCTAAGGAAAAATGGGATGACTTTGACCTTTGAAAGTGAAAGTCAGCACAATGCATGTAGAATTTATAAAACCAAGCAAATAAGTCATTTTCTTGTCTGTATTTACTGTTTGATCATCATATTTTATTGTAATGAAAGGTTGGAAGAAAATATTAACACCAGACATACAAAATCCATTCACCAAGTCATCTCAAAGATTGTTATCCTCGAATCGTTTCACCGCAATTTCGCCATCACCAGGATTGGTCCAAAATAAAAATTTTAGGCCAAAACGTCTATTTTTTCTAGTTGAGGCATTCCAAAATCTGATGTCTCTTTTCTTTAGGGGCTTTACTAAGTTTACTTTAATTCTTCTGACAAAGAGCGTGCCCTCCAGTTGTTTTCTTGTGGCCACAGTAACATTTACTAAGTTTACTTTAATTCTTCTGACAAAGAGCGTGCCCTCCAGTTGTTTTCTTGTGGCCACAGTAACATTTACTAAGTTTACTTTAATTCTTCTGACAAAGAGCGTGCCCTCCAGTTGTTTTCTTGTGGCCACAGTAACATTTACTAAGTTTACTTTAATTCTTCTGACAAAGAGCGTGCCCTCCAGTTGTTTTCTTGTGGCCACAGTAACATTTACTAAGTTTACTTTAATTCTTCTGACAAAGAGCGTGCCCTCCAGTTGTTTTCTTGTGGCCACAGTAACATTTACTAAGTTTACTTTAATTCTTCTGACAAAGAGCGTGCCCTCCAGTTGTTTTCTTGTGGCCACAGTAACATTTACTAAGTTCAAAGTTATTAAATCAATGGTGTCTTTCACTTTTAGATGACTTCTATAGGCCTGGTTGAAGATTATCTTGTACAATTCATCCTTATCATTAAGCTGAGTGTCTTCAATATACTAATATAGCCTCTATAGCTTTTGTTAAAAGGAATTATCTTGGAATTATGATATGGAAAAACAAAAAAAGAGAAATCAATTTATCAGTCCGTGGGGTGACTTTGCCCCATGCTGTGAATGTGAAAGAAAAGCAATAACGATTTATTATAATTATTATTAAACTTTAACTTAACTAACAAAATAATTAACAATTTTACCACTGAAATTTCTACAAATTAAATGCATAGGCAAATAGATTATAATATCTTAAATGAAAGTTTAAACTCACCTCAATCAACAAAAATCGATGTACAGTCGAACAGTCAAATCTTATGGTTTGGCATGGTAATGAAAGGGAAACAACATAAAGCAACATTTCTGTTTTCAATACTTTCATTATAGGAAGTTTAAAAAATTAGGGGAAAGAACTCAAGAAATTCATGAAAAACAACTTTCTCAATATAAGTTTTAGCAGGCAAAGTCACCCCGTTTAAGTAAATATTTAGCAGGCAAAGTCACCCCGTTTAAGTAAAGTATTTAGCAGGCAAAGTCACCCCGTTTAAGTAAATATTTAGCAGGCAAAGTCACCCCGTTTAAGTAAAGTATTTAGCAGGCAACGTCACCCCGTTTAAGTAAAGTATTTAGCAGGCAACGTCACCCCGTTTAAGTAAAGTATTTAGCAGGCAACGTCACCCCGTTTAAGTAAAGTATTTAGCAGGCAACGTCACCCCGTTTAAGTAAAGTATTTAGCAGGCAACGTCACCCCGTTTAAGTAAAGTATTTAGCAGGCAACGTCACCCCGTTTAAGTAAAGTATTTAGCAGGCAACGTCACCCCGTTTAAGTAAAGTATTTAGCAGGCAACGTCACCCCGTTTAAGTAAAGTATTTAGCAGGCAACGTCACCCCGTTTAAGTAAAGTATTTAGCAGGCAACGTCACCCCGTTTAAGTAAAGTATTTAGCAGGCAACGTCACCCCGTTTAAGTAAAGTATTTAGCAGGCAACGTCACCCCGTTTAAGTAAAGTATTTAGCAGGCAACGTCACCCCGTTTAAGTAAAGTATTTAGCAGGCAACGTCACCCCGTTTAAGTAAAGTATTTAGCAGGCAACGTCACCCCGTTTAAGTAAAGTATTTAGCAGGCAACGTCACCCCGTTTAAGTAAAGTATTTAGCAGGCAACGTCACCCCGTTTAAGTAAAGTATTTAGCAGGCAACGTCACCCCGTTTAAGTAAAGTATTTAGCAGGCAACGTCACCCCGTTTAAGTAAAGTATTTAGCAGGCAACGTCACCCCGTTTAAGTAAAGTATTTAGCAGGCAACGTCACCCCGTTTAAGTAAAGTATTTAGCAGGCAACGTCACCCCGTTTAAGTAAAGTATTTAGCCCGTTTCACGGTATTTCTAAAAGTACAGATCGATAAACATATTTTTTTTCCTCATGATCAAATTCTCGAAATATTGCACAATATTATGGTATATATATATATTTCAATTTTAAGTCCGGCCCCACCTTACCCTTCTTATTTTATTGCTCATGACTGGTACATCTGAGTAATATTATAGTTTTAATATTTCTTAATATATCTATTATTAACTCGGTAGCAATGGCGTAGGCTAGGAAAGGGAGTCTTAGACTTAGAGGGGGCAAAAAGTCAAAAAGCTTTGCCCGTCCCTGTCGACACTAGCCCTTTCTCCGTTTCTCCGCTACTGATCAGTAATGACTTATCTGATTTTGAAAATGCACCAGTAATAATAAGACCGCAGACCTTTTGTTTATAGTTAGTTCTAGTTCCTCGTGGCTTGTTGATTCTCTGTTTTTGTAATTTTTAGTGATCGTTTTCTATGTGAACCGCAATAAACGGGGTAATACCACAGAACACAGTCGTGACAAGCAAAAGCTGAGTCAGAGGAAAGGAATTGAAGCGACTTCCCAAAAAATCATAGATCAACACACATATTTTTAATTAAATCATGTTAGTTTTAACGCTCCGTGAAGATGATGCAAGGGGGAGCATCTCCTTTTGCATGGCCCTACTACCGACAGTCACTAATAAAGTTCAACACTCTTAAGAGTTCGAGAGTCTATCTCTTAGGACCTCGGCCATGAAACATGGCCTAGTAGTCCCTGGGGACTCCGGCCATGCAACACGGTCTCGAGTAGGGGGCTGGGCAGTTTGCTTCCACTCATCAGGGGCAGTTTTGCGTCACCACCCACCTTTGCCCAAATGAGTCATGCGGTCTGGACGTTGGTTTGGAACGGCTTTGCTTCCTCTCCGGGGATGGTGTTGCGTTACCTCACCCCACCGTCCAGGGAGCCGTACGTTCCTTGGTGTGGCAAGGCTTAAGACCGATCATGCGAGTGACACCTCAGAACGGGTAATCCCAGCGATATAAATATAATGTGTACAGTGGTAATAAATAGTAGATTTTCTCGCCTTTCGAACGCTGTTCTCTGTAGTCCAATGGTTAATTGTCTGCGAAAATTACCACTGTATGGTTAACCAGGTTCAATACTCATATAGCCCTCACATAAGTTCACAATGTTTGCAATCTTACAATTAATGTTTAACTTTATCCACATAGACAACTTATGTAAAACTTGTAATAAACAGTCCGGAAGAGTGTGATATTAGAAAATGTGATGTAGATAATTGCCTGTGTAGATTCGTCTCAAATCACACTGACCCACGACTTCTGTTTGCCCCGAAATATTATTTGCTCTTCTTTCTACTATATAGACCTAAACTCAATTCAAATCATATTGGTTCCTCTTTCGGCCTACGTTAGACCACACACTACAGGATTATTAATACACTATTAACTATTAATACACTTAATTAAAAGCCCACACGACTTTAACCAGCATTATTTATATTAACAAGAAGACTAAATCCGGATTTTTAACACGATAAAGTAGTAAATCAGCAAAAGACCACAAAACCAGAGATATCACAATGATGACGGCAATAAATCAATTGTCATCAAATACAGAGAGTATGATGGACACAGATGAATATTGCTCAAATCTGACATTTGGGTCAAATACAGAGAGTTTGATGGATACAGACGAAAATAGCTCAAATCTGGTTACTGAGAGTATGATGGACACAGACGAATATTGCTCGAATCTGGTGTTTGAAACCAATGAAGAGAGTTGCATGGAAACGGAAGAAATGCTCTCAGATGGGATAAATATAACAAATTTAAGCGAAGAAAGTTCGATGGAAATCGACGGAAATTTGTCAAATTTGACACGTCGATCAAATTCAGGAACCATCATTGAAACGGATGCACAATGGATCCAATCAGCGAATACGGAGAATGTCATCGAAATACATGTGTCACACCATTCACCTCTTGCAATCCGTCGCGAAGAGATTAAGCTGAAGATTTCTACATCCCACATTGTTCGTCATTTATCTGATAGGACATTTAGAATGTGAAGACA